ACGTGCCTCCGCGCGCATGCTGTACACGCGCGCGAGCACCTTCGCCTCCAGATCCCACGACGGTAATCCGGCAAGGAGGTTCGCCGACTCCCCAAAGAGCAATAGGTTAGGTTGCGGTCACCGGTATCCTCGCGGTGTTTGACAATTTAAAAGATAAAGTTTCAAAAGGAAGGTTTATATAAATAATAACTGCAAATAAAACGCGTGCGAAGTCGCAGATAAAAGCTTGGTTTTGTGATAAAGTCAATCAGGTTGTTAATTTCCTTTTCTAAACAAAAAACATTTTTATCAAGTACATAATATGTATAAGATAAGGCCTAACAAGCTATAACAAGTTATTATAAGCTATAACTGCATGGCCTCTGAAGGTATAGCAACCGTAATAATAATTACCGACCATATCATAAACCCACGTCGGCAGATGACACATTGTGTTAATCGGAGATTTTTAAACTACGCTTTACGTTGTTGAAAGAGTAGCGTAATCTTACTCTTAATAATATTATATACTCAATCACGTAAAAACGGCTGATGGAATCGGGTTGAAATTTGGAACATTTTCGATTACGGTCGAAATATCATATAGGCTACTTTTTTCCAACTAAAGAGCGGGCGAAGCCGTGGGCAAATATATATATATGCCACTGTACAATGTAACACATCCCACTATTTATGTTATGAGTCCCATGTAATAGGAGGTGAGTCTTTTGCCATATACCGGGCACAATTTAAGTCTCCGTGCTACTACTGAAAATTTATAAAAAACCCAGTAATTCTTTGTCCGACCCGGGAATCGAACCCGAGACCCCTTGCCTGGCCAGTCGCACTTACGACCATTCGGTCAACGAGGTAATTTCAGGCAAAGTTTAAAGTCGGGTAAATAATCAATTCACTTTACAATGTCCAAGTTAAACTTCAATTAACACTCGAGTAATTTCGATCTTTTTTCTGAAATTTTAGATAAAAGAAATTAATTTATTTTCTCGATCAAAAGTTTTAGTTCTATTCTTTTACTTTAGAATAACATATAATTTGTCGTAATTGTTAGTCTTGCTAAGTATCTGTTAGTCTTACTATCAAAACTTAATTAGTTGAGCTAATAAATTACGCCATGTCAACTGCAATGTTGGAAATTAGAAAGCTATTGTCTAATATTAAAATAGAGCTACTTTTTTAATAGTAGGACAGACTAATGAGATATTTTAATTATAATTGGATGTTTTGCAAGATTACTTCAGTTTATGGAGTCATATAGTAACTTGAATCAATGGCATTATATTGTGTGAGACATGGGACTAAGATATAATTTATTGGTCTTGAGACTAATCTCTTAGAACCGGAGATCTACTGATTAGCAGTCTCAATTTTAACAAATTATGTGCATAAATAACAGTGACAGCTTAACTATGTATTTATCATTATCAACATTTGAACAATTTGGTTTCAAAAAGTTTTTTAACTGAGTTTATTTACTATTGGTAATTGTCGCTTAATCCCCCGTTAAAGTGCGTTTAACACAGTGCAACCAGCCACATAGTAGATGAAAAATCAACCATTTTATTGCAATCGTTTTCTGATTTCTTAAAACCCATTTAATGTTTAACTAAGTCGTTTTTGCTATGATTATTTTTATTACATGTATTTTCTTAGAATTGTGTATAAGTATAGGCTTCATAACCACTTCACCCTAGGGTTATGTAAACGCCCGCTGTTATTTTAGGATAGTGAAAAAATAGTTGCTGAACTATTTTCATTCAAATCCTTCATGGAATAAAGATTATTATTAAACGATGCCTACAAAAGATAAAGTTTTCTTTTGTAGGCGCTATTTATTCAGTAGATAGTTTCAGTGAATTTCAACGAAGTTTGGAATAATTTTTTGGGGATTTTTTAGTGATTGTACGAGAGTGAACTTATATTTTAAGCATCTTTGGTAATTCATGAAATAAAATTGAAATATTTCATTTATACACACAGAAGTAATTTATATGAAAAGAGCATTATACTTCGTTTTTGAATTTAAAAAGTGCTAAAACAATGGTGTTTTGTCTGTCGTTTGTTTTATATTGTCATCACATAACTTCAACAATACCTTCGAAGCAAACTACCTATTATCTATTTATTTTATGACTGTTATTTGCTTTGAGTAACTACTGTTTTTACACAATGCATTATAATTATGTTGTACTTGATAGTTCTTACGATTGCTTTACCAGCTGCCACCTGCGATATTGAGTTCATAACTTTATAAGTTTTAATTTTCTTAACAGTTAGTTGTACTACCAAGAGTTGTTTTTAAGTTAATCTTTATCATCAACTGTGACTCCTCCTCCTGTGACTGGCCCAAGCCCATAGTCCATCTGGACATCTTGTCAGTGATGTCCATCACTGACAAGATTAAGAGGGTTTGCAATAATCTTCACGCTATTGACTGGCCTCTGTCAAGTGTGAGGTCGGTTAGTCGGTTCTTAAGCTTCCATGCCTGATCGCGCGATACCCTGCTGACGGCGAGCAAGTGTGGCTCGTCGCCCGAGGAGAACCAGACCCGTGCGTACGGCGCCGATGCGGAGCCGCGGAAGCCCTAAAGGGTTGCTGGGGCTTCGGCTCGAAGAGTAGGAGTAGGAATAGGGTGGTTTTCAGTCAGTAAGAAGTTTGATATTCCCTCTTGGGTAACCCAAGGCGAGAGAAGTCATTGCATTATTTGCCATCCAAACAAAAGCTGTACAGGATCCTGCCGAGTGTCGGTTTTTGGACACAGATTACAGGGCGCTTGCTTAGATGAACCTATTGTACGTAGTACACTGACGCAATCACAAGCGTGTGAACAATTTCCAAAATGCCTAGCGGGAGTTGAAAGATTGGTGCTTGTTGGATCCTTGTTGAGCCTTGACAAGCATGGAAACGTACTTTTATGAGTAACAATACCCACAAGAAGAGCAGCGTTGATGACAAATTATTTATTAATTTATTCTAATCTGCTTCTACGCTAAGCAATTTAATAAAATCTATTTACAATCAAGTATGGTTTTGAACCCTCTGAGAAGTACTTAGTGCATGTTATCAAATGCACTGTTAACACGTTCAATAATCGTAAAAACTAGCTGTTTGGTTACTTCGCTAGGTCCAGTGGTTCTCAACACTTAAGTCATTGGCCCCTAGAGAGCGATTGCGGTCGATTGTCCTTCTGAGAAATGGGAGCTTTAGCTCAGTTGGTTGAAAATGCGATGTCTGGTATATTTTTAGAACAAAAGATTTAGTTTGCTTTATTGATATTTATAGTCGTACCTATTAATAGTATTTTGAATGTATTAGACTTGTTTGCTGTGGTTATTGAAAAGCAGTAGGGGGAAGTCCCTCAACGCCGGACGACACCTAACGCCGGACACTTGTATTATCTCAATAACTAAAAACGCGAGTGTTTTAATTTTTAGGGGGAAGTCTCCCATTATCAGACACCTAAGATTTTTAGTAAAAATTGAATTGCTCGTGTTATCAGTTATCGAGATGATACAATTGTCCGGCATTAGGTGCCGTCCGGCGTTACGGAACTCCCCTCTAACGTTTTTTATTTCATTGGTCACTTTTTCAGTCGTTCAGTGATTATTAACAGTAATTATTCAGTGATTATAAATCACGCAAATGGAAAATATAAATTTAACAGTTGAACACATCAAAAATCAGTTTCAGAACTCCTGTTTAGCAAAGATTTGAGAACCACTGGAACATATAACGTGCATGCTTTTATAATCACGGAAATGGAATTTTAAGTAAACCCAGAGAAAATATCTAGTTATTAACCAGACTACATCATAATAATTTTTATGAGATTTCGTTTAATCACTGCAATTTTATGTTAAAAGCCATTTTTATGTCCAGGAAATACAGGAAAATGTATGTCAATTGCATTAACTTTTTGCTTTTAGCTAATGACTTAAGTTATTTGAAAGATTATTATTATTATTAATATATTCTTTGATTTTTAGATGTTGGACCATGAGTTCATTTTAATATTATGAAAATAAAGTAGATTCGATCGAATAACGCTATCTTAAAATATTGATTTATTTCACCAGTAACAATATTTAGAGAATGTATGAAAATATCTTAAGAAATGCTCGATTATATTTCGAGTCAAAGAGGGACTCTTTTGCATGAGCAGGCGATGTCGCTTAGCCTACTCAGTAAATTTTCGTGAGTAACTCGTAATTTTTTCGGCATGTCTCACGATAGTTATAGGCATTATAAATATGAAAACCTAATTTCAGTGACGTCTTTAGAAATTATTTTGGCTATGAACATCAAATTATCCCTATTTTAGACTCTTGCATCTCATTTTAAAACATTTTGTGATTATGTTAATCACAAAGTTGATAGATCAATTCGATTAAAATACTTAATTAACACAATCAATCGACTAAATATGTAATTATCAACAAATTGATTCATAAATAATGTCTAATACGCATTAATTATGATGGCCTGTGGGAATTATTGTACACTGTAGATGCTCATAATTACGGCGTTTTCATATTTTGACTTTATTTTATATTACCTATGGTTAATTTTTGATTGGTATTTATATTTCATATAAGGAATAATTACGAGATTTATTTGTATTTTTCGATATTGTTTATGGTTTGTTTTGATTGTGATTAGTTTTTTTCTTATGTTGTTTAGTATCTAAGTATACCAAAACTGTGCCAGAAATGTTTACCTATGTGTGCGTGTGTGTGTGTCGAGGCTTTTTTAAAGTCCTTAGGTTCCGAAAGAACGGCAATGCACTCCTAACACCTTCTTGTAATGCGAGTGTTCATGGGTTGCCACGTTTGCTAACCATTAGGTGATTCGTCTGCTCGTTTACCTCCTTATTCCATAGTAAAAATACTTCCCTTGCTCACTAATGGTATCTATTTATTGCATTATATCGTCTATTGTTCATATATATGTAATATTTTATCTAAACCAAGAACCTAAAGAAATAGTAAAAAGAAAAGACTTACGGATCTCTTTTGATGATGATGATGTTCTAACTTCATGTTGGCGCATCTGTTCAGAGCTGTAAGACGTCTGAATAGTGATTGAAGGGAGTCCGCGTCCAAGAACGGATGGTCGTTCTGAACGCCTGATACATCTATTGGAAACTGGAGATCTGGAACAAATAGAGAAAATTGTTAATAATACTGCTATATTCAAAAATAAAACTTTGCCGCGCATTCGGATTTTTTCCTATATCGTGGGTGCGTTTACAAACATACAAGTTCACATACACATGATACCCAGACCCGAAACCACAATTTGTGGATCACACTAAGAGTTGATACATGCGGGAACCGAACCATGTGAAAGTCAATATCAAACTCTATCAAGTAAATGTCTACAACATTAAAAGAAATGTGACTGATAATTTACTCAAATTATATTGTAGGTACTACTATACTATACGGTCTATAAGGTCATTATACATTTTGCCAGTTATGTGTAGTCTTTTCGTAATAGTCTATTGTCGAAAACTAAGCACGATTCTATAGTAACATTACTGAAAAATTGATAATTTAAAACTATATTCCGCCCAGGAATCTTTCTCATACATACATAAATAAATAACTTCACACCCGTCTCCCATTGGGGATAGATAGAGACTATGGAACGCCAATTACTACGATTCCTACATACCTCTTTCGCTTCATCAATAGTCATCAATCTTTTCATGCATGCTCGTCGGCTAAAGGCACTTTTAATTTAGCCCTTCTTTAATTTACAATAAATGAATTTACAATTTATTATGCAACAAAGCCTTGCCATTTCACACGAAAACTCCTATCAATTACAACATCCTGATAAACAATACATCACATCTCAATTATACTCAAAAACCTTCATCACATTGTGACGTCACAATGTAGTAAACAAAACACGTCGTTACGTCACTCCTAGTATTGTGACGTCATTATTGAAAACACTATTGTTTGATGAGAGACAAGATTAGATAGTTACGCTGACACAATTGTTGATTTGGGTACTGACGGCTTTCAAGTATATTGGGTTTATTTTGTTTGTATGTATGTATGTAAATTGATAGCAAAGTGGCAGACGTAAGTTTTAGGTACGTTTGGAATTTAGTGTGGCGCTTCATAGATATTATATTAATTTTTATGTTTTGAGATATTGTGTGAGTTTGTCAGTGGCCAAAATTATCTCGTTATCTTTCCTCGTATATAGTTTGAGGGCTATGATATTTAATGATTAATTAAAGAATAGTAACTGTAATATCAAAAATAAATTTTACAGTAATACGGAAAAGTAAGGAAAACTTTCAATGCAAAGTTATACAGGGTGTAAAAGAAAAACGGTAACAGGTGATCGTAAAAAATAAGTTTTATTTTTATAAAAATAAGGGATTCAATGTTTATTTTATGGGATTGTAATCTAGACAACGGCTTTCGGCAAATGTTGCACGAAACTAAAAAAAAAATTAAACTAATTAAAAAAACAATATTTTTTTTAAATGATTTCTTTTTGTCAGTGTTTTAGGGGCGTTCCGTTTACACTCTATGTGTGAAAATAAATTATTAGGCATTTTGATTTTCCATAATAGTCTCCATTTACTACACAAATACGTCAAATACAATAAATCAAAACTTCAAGTACCTAATACTAAATTAATTGTCATCTACATCGTTGACCATTGCCGTGTTAAGAAAACAACAGTTACACAAAATACAAGATATCGAAAACGCATCAATATAAAATTTTAGACACGTATTTTAAAAAAAAGCGCGCCTCGTGTCGGTCGCATCGCTCGTGTCGCTCGTCGGAAATGAAACGAGCGGGTACCGGTAATAGGAAACGCGAGAGACTCGAAACTAAATGCAGTTTGTTTGAAGTTAACTGAAGTAAAGAATAAAGAAGTTAGAAAGAAAGATAGGTTTTCTGTTGAGTAAGAAAAATAAGAATGACAGTATTTATTTTATAATTTATTTTAGTTGTAAGGTTAACACAAGATCTGTCTGTCAAGCTCAGGATGTACCGAAACTTAATAGTATTGAAGTCACACCAATAGCCTATATATACCAACTGCTGAGCAAAGCCTTCCTCACACGGAGAAGGTTCGAGCATTAATCACCATGTTTGCTCAATGCGGGTTGACGGTTTCAAATTTATAATTAGAAATCATATGCCCAGGTTTCCTCACGATGTTTTCCTTCACAGTTTGTCAGTGGTGTCTTAATATTCTAAGAAAGTCCAAACTTGGAATTGGACTTGGGCATCTGAAGCCTCCGGGCCACCAAGACTCGACAAATAGTAATGAACTGCCTTTTATTATTTCTAATCCGAATTGCGGTCGACTCTAAAAGAACACCGCGAGAATGTTACAAAATCCATATTTAACAATGGTCTGTTACTATAAAATAATAGTCTATAATCTAGTTTATATAGCTAATATAAATAAGTCTTGCTATGCCAACCAATCATCACATCAGAAACAACAGCACTTTCTGCCAAAATACGGACACAAACAGCGTCTATTGCTACCCCATCCGAAGTGCAATTGCATTACGCTGTGGAAGCAACATCAACCCTTTGTGTACTGTCCAGTGACCACACTCGATATTAGGCGCAATGCACACTGTTTGTCTAACGTCCAGTTACTTAGTTAGATGGCGCTTTGGTGCGGTAATTCATTTAAAGCACCCTGTATGTGAAGGTGTTGTGTTTTTTTTCAAGTTTTGGTGATGTTCTGGTTGGTTAGTGTTTTAATTTAAGTGGTTGGTACCCATAGAGTGTTATGTTTATATATTTCATATAATCCACTTTTGTGTTCTAAATTTCAAATCATAACATCTTGTAAACTGTACCACTGCATTGATAGAAACTATCGAAAAAAAGTGTTAAAATTAAAACAAAATCTCTCAAAAATTGCTACTTGACAATCACAATAACCGAATCGATAGAAAAGTTTCTTAAACTAAAATAAATAGGTATCCTAATTACACGTTTTCATCTTCAGCACAACACTTCACAAAACCCACCCCACGTCCATGAAAATAAGCCTGCATCTGTCACAAATAGCACAGATAAAAAATATCTGCAACTGCCACCACCACAAGCCGCTACAGTGTTACATAAGTGTCCTATAAATACATAAAAAAAGATACATTTAAACTTATCGTCGGTACAAAAGTAGGCCGGTTGTCACAAAGTGTTCCGTATCGTTGTGACGTCACCGTCCGGTTAGGGGGTGGGGGTAACGGAAGTGGGGAAGCGCAGTCGCTCGTTGACTGTCGTGCATGTAGGTCGCGTTTGAATGTAATTGGTTTGTTTGAAATGTAGAGTTTTATTGAGTTTTTTTTGTTTTATGTGGGTTATTTATTTATCGCCTGTTTAAGCCACCCCGCCCACTTCTCATGCATGAGGGTGCGGGTTCGAAACCTACCAACGGCAAGTACTAATGTGACGTTTTCCGAGTTATATTTACTTTCTAAGATTATTCAGACACCACTGACAAATGGTGAAGGAAAACATCGTGAGGAAATCTGGGCTTATAATTTCTAATTATAAGTTTGAAATCACCAACCCGCATTGAGCAAGCGTAGTGATTAATGCTCAAACCTTCTCTGTGTAAGAAGAAGGTTTACTCAACAGTGGGCATTTGTAGGCTGTTGATGATGATGATGACGATTATTTATATCAAATATGTATATTACAACAATAGCATTTCCACGCTAAAAAAATGTGTAATAGCAATTATATGGTAATTAAATCATGTTTAAGTGAATTATAAATTCCGGTGACTACAATCTTTTATGTTGTCAATGCACGTAAATAATATTAAAATTAAGACATCTTGATTATTGCGTATTTCATTTTAAAGAAACAGGAACGAACACACAACCGAACCCAAATACTTATACGCTTGTCACAAATATAATAAGACTGGACATCTTTTGCGTCATAACTCCAGCCAAAAAATAAACAAATACACAAAATGGCTTCCAAACATAACAACGTATTTTCTTTTATTTCTTATCTTAAAGAAACACTCCAATTCTCACTTGTTTGTGTATTTGTTATTTATTAAAACAATAGTCCTGTCAATTGGACGGATTGCCAGAATTCGTCTTACGATCGGGTCAGCCAAGTCAATTGGACTGAGATAAATATATCTAAGAAATGGTAGGTATTTATTTTTTTCAAGAGTAATGTTAAATTAGTTGATAGTAGTTATAAATGAGACATTTTATATGTCATGGAACGTCGGGGCATATTCTTGAATGTAATTCCGATCGATTGATATTGATATTGTGAAATTTCGTACTCTTGACTTGCAACACTAGTGTCCATTGCATCTATATTACGCGGATATTTAATTAATTAAATGGTATTGAGTTTAGCTTCATATTCTGTACTCTGAATGCTACTTTAACAGCTTCGATAGGGGTTGTATAGTTTTGACCAATTGTTGAAATTTTATTGGATTGAAAGTCAGCGCCCTGGTATTTGACAACCAAGTTAAAAACACAGAACAAATTCATGTTTTTTTTTTTAATTTTTTTAGGTACAGTAATGAAATTAGATTTTGAATTACTCCTTGAGATTGTCAGTAAGTAACTTTTTTTTTAATATAATGTACACTCTGTCTAACAAGAAAAACAAGTAAATTTTTTTTCTATAAATACCTTTTTTGCTTACCCCTTTTAGTAACTGACATAATATTTACATGTAATATCCATCTACAAGTACACATAATAAAGAATGACTATATAAAATATAGCATAATACGACATGATACTCGTAAATGTGATATAAAACCCGGTTCATTATTGCCCTTGACCGTAATAGAGATGTTTTCAAATAACCGGGTATTTTAGGTCAATAGCTACCGATATTATGTTTTATATGTATTGAAATATTCTTTCACCTGGCAATGTACCAAGTAGGTTTGTATGGATGGGCTTTTAAAAAGAATTTGGGTTTCATAGTAAAGTTGTAAAAAATTGAACAAAATTAGAATTATGCTTTATTAACAAAAAATACTCATGAAATATAAGTTGTGACATTGTAGTCCAATCTAAAGATGCCATTTATATACAAGTTAATATTTTTTAAACACTGTAGGTAAATATCTGGGCTCTCGTATTCGATCAATAT